AAAAAAAAAAATAGGAGTTCAATGACGAGTTCAATAGAAAGGAAAAATGCATTTTTACGAGGTTTGTTTGCCAGGCCGATTTGTAAAATTGTGATTTGATGGTTGGAAATATTTTTGGCCCAATTGTCAATGAGATTCTGCCATGTGTTATCTTGAAAAAGCAAAAAATAATAATAATAAATCTTCCATTGAGCTTGTACATAAAGCATGAAGGTAATAGAAGGATAAATTTATATGTACATAATTATTGTACATAATGGATTACATAGGCCCATGTAGAAGAAATCCGACCGTGGATGTGAAGTGTAGAAAAGTAAAAAATTGTAGATTATCGATGGATGCGCGCCACATGTCAATTATGTAATGTATTATGTAAATGCTTATATACTTGTAGCATGGTCCGTATTCCGTAATAGAAAACATAGTTTAGTAAACCAAGATAAAGCTATTTGATACAAGTTTAATACATTCAGTAATTTTTCAGATTTAATGAATTTTATGTTAAACTATGATTCTAGGCCTTATTTAATGGTGATTAAAATCTTATCAAAGTCATTGATTAATTCCAATCACATATTTTACAGATCTACAACTTTTCAATCTCACATCTCATCAATTATTACTAAAATCTATTACAAATCTGATTTTACTCCCCATCAAACGAGGGTTGAGTTGTGTGAGCACGATCAAACACTTCATAGTAGAGAAGTATTTCATGAAAGTCAAAATGGAGGGTCATCTATGAAATTTGATGCTCTTGGGAATTTAATCAAGAAACTAAATACAGGTTGTATTTTTCTTGATAATTACAANAAGTTTTCAACCTATGTTTTCATTGAATAATTATAACTCGGTACATATTCAAAATACGGTCATCGTATTTTTTAAAAAATGACATTAGTATTTCCTTTGTATTTACATTATTATTTCCTTTGCATTCTAAAAATAAAAAAGATGTAAGGGAAACGAATAATTCTTGATGTGGTGAAGAAGGAATTAGAATTTTATGTTAAAGTGGGACCTGCACAAATAGAAATAAGCAACTTCTCGATTTTTTGGAGAAATTTTGGGATTGTCCATTTTTTGCGAAATTTTAGTCAAATTTGAATGGAAACGGTCAATAAACAAGACATAGTGGCTTTGCCCCTGATGCAGGGCCCATTTGGGCCAAGTTCCTTCGTTTAGACATTCAAAACGTTTTTTTTTCTTTTTTGTTTGTAGCATATATCAATCAAATAAATTCATATTTGAATTTCGTTTGTTGGGGGGACGATTATGATGATTAAGATTTTCAAATTTTGTCATTATCTCGATTTTTTCTATTTTTTTTTTAAAAAATTATTGATTATTATGTAATTTTTCAAATTTTTTTAGGGTTTTCACTATATAAAGTATTGTAAGCCCTTTGAGGCCGCATTGGTTGAAAGAAGAAAAAATTCTGAAGTTTCTATTTATTGAAATTCTTTGTGAGGTTTTTTATTTTTCCTATAAAGATGGAGTGACTAATTGAAAAAAAAAAATAGGAGTTCAATGACGAGTTCAATAGAAAGGAAAAATGCATTTTTACGAGGTCTGTTTACCAGGCCAATTTGTAAAATTGTGATTTGATGGTTGGAAAATATTTTTGGCCCAATTGTCAATGAGATTCTGCCATGTGTTATCTTGAAAAAGCAAATATTAATAATAATAATAAATCTTTCATTGAGCTTGTACATAAAGCATGAAGGTAATAGAAGGATAAATCTATATGTACATAATTATTATACATAATGGATTACATAGTCTCATGTAGAAGAAATCCGGCTATGGATGTGAAGTGTAGAAAAGTAAAAAATTGTAGATTACCGATGGATGCGCGCCACATGTCAATTATGTAATATATTATATAAATGCTTATATACTTGTAGCATAGTCCGTAATAGAAAACATAGTTTAGTAAATCAAGATAAAGCTATTTGATACAAGTTTTTAGTAAACCAAGATAAAGCTATTTGATACAAGTTTAATATATTCAGTAATTTTTCAAATTTAATGAATTTTATGTTAAACTATGATTCTAGGCCTTATTTAATGGTGATTAAAATCTTATCAAAGTCATTGATTAATTCCAATCACATATTATAAAGATCTACAACTTTTCAATCTCACATCTCATCAATTATTACTAAAATCTATTACAAATCTGATTTTACTCCCCATCAAACAAGGGTTGAATTGTGTGAGCACGATCAAACTTCATATTAGAGAAGTATTTCATGAAAGTCAAAATGGAGGGTCATCTATGAAATTTGATGCTCTTGGGAATTTAATCAAGAAACTAAATACAAGTTGTATTTTTCTTGATAATTACAAATTATATATGTAATGAGTTTCATTGTGTTTTAAAATCCATAGATATAATCATCCTTGAAAAATTAACTTTCTTTGTAATTATTATTCCTAATGATTAATATTTCATATAACATATAAACTTTGAATTTGTGAGTCAAAAATCGGAATTCTTAAATTTTGATTTATGAAAATTGGAAATTCATGGGTTACAATTTGTAAAGATCCCTTTTTTCTTAACCTAGAAAGTAAGGTCAGCCAGCCAAAAGAAAAAATAATAACATTTATTAAATAAATAAATAAATAAAATGGACATATTGTTGTAGAATAAAATTACATATATTTTGTGTCCATGATTCATGCCGAACAAGGCATTGTCTCAACATCAAAAATAGATAAGAACCCTTTATCCATATTACATGATTACATTTGAATCCCATCTCAACTAACTTTTCCATATTGAAAATCTAGATAAAACAAAAATATTCCTCCAATTTTTCTTCCACTTGCAAGATTTATGGTAAAAATTTCTTAATTCAAACTGTAATTTTGACGCAGTTGGTAAATGGCCATTAAACCAAGTCCGCCTTATTATTCAAATGAGAAATTAGGTAAGCCTAATTTTCAAAATAGATAGTGTTTTGGTTGGATACTAATCCACTTATATTCATGTATATATACACATACATACATATGCAGGATTCTATGCAGTGTGGATCTGTAGACAAGAATCCCATATGGAAGGCCTAGTACCTTGTAAGAGTTCTGATAGGAAGAGAGACAGACAGCCAATTTCTGTTCCATTTGTTTGGGAAGAGAAACCTGGAACACCCAAGAAAGATTGGAAACCAACTGCTCATCCAATTAAGCCGGTTGCGCTTCCAGTCAAGCTTGTTGCATCTGTTCCTTTTGGATGGGAAGCGAAGCCCGGAAAACCACTTCCATGTTTCTCTCAGTCACCACCGGAATCAGAACCTGCACCGCCACAGACAATGAGCATCGGCTTCCCATCACCTCCGAGTTACTCGGACAGTCAGGATGAAGATTGGAGTGGCAGCGAGGGAAACGTTGAAGATAAGAGAGAAGGAGATCAAATGCTGGATTCAGAGATAGATACATGCAGTTTTGTAACAGGCGATTCCTTCAGCTCCGCTCTGTCTCTCCTCGCCAATGGCCTAATATCAAGCGCAGCACTTTTGAGTGCAGTTCCCGAGCAGCAAACTTCACTTACACAGAAAACAATCAACGGTGGGAAAATCCAAACTCCCGGTTCACCAGAAACAGACAGTAGTACAAGAAGCTATGCAACAGGAACCACAAGCCTGACTGGAGCTTCTTTCTTGGAGTGGCTCTTTCCTCTACTAGCACCTCGAACAAGTTTAGCTGACAATGTTGGCTGCTCAGAGAAGGACACTTCTCCCACAGCAGATGTACAAAATATAGATTTGCCACGAGAAAGCAATGGCAGTCTTGTAAAAAGACCACTGCTGACGCTTGGAGAGATGATAATGATGAGCAGAAGAATGAGTTATAAAAGAAAAGCAAATAAAATTCGTAAACAGCCATCTATGGTAACTATCTTCTTCCCTGATTTTCGCCAATGATTGATTCAGCAGTTTAGATGTTCTCAATGCAAGCAAACACCATAGATTTTATAGTAGCATCACCTGACTGCATCACTGCACACGTCAGCTTTTAGATACAGCTTTTCATTAGTCAAACTTACATTCGACAGGAACTTATGAAGGGGAACGCCTTGGGTTGCTGCATCTTTGGAGCTGGCAACGGCATCAGTGGATTGCACTGGAAGTAGAAGAGGCAGCCGCAACTAAAACTGATGTAGAAAAGTTGGCACTCTGACTTAATGTTGCATGCAATTGTTTTGCTGTAGCAAGTCAAACTCCAGTCCATTCCATTCCGAAATGTGAGCATGTTAAATTATTATGTGTTTCTGCGTGTAATGAAAAGATTGAATTACTTCAATAATATCAGAATTGTGACTCCAACTAAAACAATGATGATGCAACCTTAAATCCTCAAAACACAATACACATTGACATCGCAATTAACCAATGGTATATAGCCGGGCCATTTAGCTCCAATGATTCAAGACCCACAACGTTTTATGCAGAACATTTTCAACTTTACGTATTCGTTCTATTACTAGAGGAATCCCCTCTTCATTTGACGTTGTAAAACAGCATCAGAACCATCCAGGTTCAATACAATGGCAGGGCGACCCAAGAGTTACATTAGTCTTGTCTATATTTAAGGGTTTATCCCAGAGCTCAAGCTCTCTTTCCTAGTTGTGAGGGCTGATTAATCTGCTCATATCAACCCATCAATATAAACCTGCACTGCTTTTTGCTGATTCAATTCCCAGCTCTCTCAAACCCTCTACAAATAAATCGTGCATCATCTTTATTCTCTCTCTATTTGTCTACATGTATGTCGACGTAAATTTTTATCTAAAAGCACTGAAACTACAAGCCTCTGGGTTGGAGTTGGAACGGAAGAAAATCTTGACAATTTCCTGGATGCAGCCAAAACATTTTCATTGAAGGAATATATACCTCCAACTCTGAATACAGGAAGAGAGAAATCTTTGGACAGCCCATATATGATATGAACCCCATCCCTGTCATAATCTTCAGATTCGAGAATCTCTGCCATGCTTACAAACTCTTCGTTGCCATACATTGAACCAGCAAATATTTCAACTGATATTATATGAGTGTTCCCTTCTCTAGCAAAGCCTAGGAGATCATAGAGCATATCTCTCGACAACAGGTTTCCAACTGGATTAGAAAAATATGAAATGAGTAGTCCACAGACCTTTTGACCTTGCTTTCTTGCCTGATTAAAGGCTTGATCAAGAGCCTATACTAAAGGTGAAGTCATCACAGCTACGACAGTGAACAGGAATTAGCTCCACACCAATCCACCATCTCATGTCCCTATCAAAACTGGATGTAGATAATATAATTACAGCAAGCTTAAAGTGAGAAAAAGGAGAAACGCAGAAGAAGAAAATCAAACTGAAAGAAAACAAATAATAAAAGAAGAAATATACTCAGAATTGGAATCAGAATTGGAAACAACTCGATCCATAAAAGAAAGAATAGAGAAATCACACACCGTACACTATTGTAGAAAAAAAAACATATCAACCAGGATAGTAGGGCGTGGGAACAAGAAATGCAAGGAATGCGTTCCCTTGGTTGCCAAGCAAAAACTGAGTATCTCAAGTACAGGAGTTGCACCAGATGTCAACACCACCGATGATGGGTTAAATGTCACCATTCTTCTCATGACTTCTGTCATAAAACCTGCCATGGCCTGCAGAGTTTGAACAATCTTAATACAGATCATAGGCAACAGTAACATAGTCAGTTATGAATTGGCATAGAAACAAGGGTAGCAAATACAAATCACTACAGTACAATGAATGCAATAATTCATTTAATAGAGTGAAATAAAGAAGGAAATCAATGACTCTTTAATCACCAAAAGGTTATATACACATGTAAACACACCCATTCAACCCAAAGAGATAAATGTGAAAGATTCGAAACTGCTACCTGAACGAAGCCTCTCATTCTAGTACAAAAGCAAACCTAGTGTGAAATCACTAACTATTTGTATCTTAAAAAGGAAATTATAATTTTCTTTTGTAGTTCCTCTCTTTAATGCTCCTGCACGACGAAGTTCAACTTATGCATTCACAATATAGCATTCAAGAGCTCCATCAAGAAACCATCATCGTGAACTAATCTATTGTATCCGTCATAGTTGTCCAAATGTAACACGGCTAAGAGAAATTTCTGTGCCAAAACAGTATCATCAATGAACCCACCGGCACTCAACTATCAACTTCAGGTGGCCTAAATGCTGATCAATTACATTTTGTGAACGAGCATGTTTGGTTAAGCTTAAAAGGTTTATATAACTAAGTTTCAAATACATACTTTTTTATTAATCAAAATTGGAAATAAGCAAATTATTTTCAAAATAAATAACTTCGCTAAACATTCTCTCCTCCAAGCCAAAATCTTTAGTAAAATGAGTCACATTATGGCAACATGAAATAGCTTTTACCCGTCATACTATCTAATCAACATTTCAAATTTAATTTTTGTGAGCCTTTTACATATCTAATCGAAGATTATACATTGATAGGTTAAATATACATTACCATTTTCAGCTCCATCAAACAATCCAAGGATTGGTAGGTTGCAAATCCACGAATATTCAGATCATCGCCCCCTTCTCCGAGCATTGAACCACTCAAACTATTGGAAAGCCAGTCCTCAATTAAATCTAATGATATAACTTCAGAAGGGGAAAATAAAAAGATTCAGAATTCAAATCATAGAAATGCTGGCAATGAAATAAGTATAAACAAAAAGTAATAGATGCCACCGTGAACCATTATTCATTACCATGTTTTCAGATAACCAAGCTGAATAATCCCATTCGGGTTATTCATTTCGTCGTATGGGTTATCCCAAACCTTATCTAATCCAACGTAATACAGAGAATCATTAGGCTTCACAATTGAGCTCGCCCTAGCTGAGACGTGGGCGCACTCAATCGATCCACGCGTCAGAAAATTGGAGCATGATGAAAAGTAAGGCAGTTCTGGGAGGTTCTCCGCTAACATGGACGGCGACGGAGGAGAGGAACGGTGTCGTTTAGGTAAACCTGAAGGAAATAGACCAAAGCGCAAGGGATTAGCGAGCCTAGTAGTAATCCTCCCCTGCCCTGAACTATATTCCTTGTAGGGGTACTATGAGCATCATGCTGTTTTGGGTGGGTTTCGGTTCAGAGTCCGCGTTACATGTCACATGAGTAGTCAGCGAGGGAGATAAGGTTGCCGGAAGTGTGCGGCGGCGGAGGATTTTGGTTGTTGGGAAGTAAGCAGTAGTGATTTTGTTTGTGCGTTTCGGGAAGTTTGTAGATGATTTGCTTGGCTGGTGCGGCGAGGTGGGATTCTGTTGTTCACACTGGTGACCTCAAGAAAGGAACGATGTTTTTTTATGAATATTACAAAGAAAATAATGTATTTTAAATAGAGGAAGTGCTAAGTGTACATAATGATCTACACAAAGTTTCACACCCCTTCACATGAAAGGGGACCGACACACAAATATTGTGTGTGGACCCCCCTTTCATGTGAGGGGGTGTGAAACTTTGTGTACACCACAAGGTGTACTTGCATTTTCCTTTAAATAGTGATATGATGGAAAATATGTGGTTAAAAAGTAAGAAAATGTTATTCAAAACTCCCTAGTTTTTTAAAGGAAAATTTTCATAAATGTTACTAAATTTGAAAATCTAAAAAATTTTGTCATTTTCACTTTTTGTGAGCAAAATGTCACTTTTTTGTGCAAAATGTCCAAATTATTCCTTAAGAGGAAATTACACCGGTGTCGTTTTGCTATCATGTAATTACCAAAATGTCACATTTTTAAATTAGTTGCAAGAATGTCATAATGAGACATTTTTACCCCTTTACATAATTTCAATACCTAACATGTCCACCATTAATTGAGATTTGACTCCATATTAAATTTGTACTATTTGTCATCTCCAAAACGTCAATACAAGGAAAAAAAGGGAGGGAAATAATTGTCATCTACAAAACACAGACAGCCCTAATTGAGATTTTCATTTGGGAGTCTGACCGGCCACCCACCACTGGCCAAAGCAAGAAAGTTCGACCCAGGGCCCGAGCCCAAAAATTAAAGGGCCTCATTTTTTTTCTTAATAACTCATTCCTATTCTACCCCACTTCCTCTATTCCACGCACCAGAAACGGCGAAACCCACCCTCGACGGTCTATCTTCTTGCTTCTCTCTCACCCGTCCACGGTCCACCGTCCGCCATCGTGCCACGCCCTGCTTGCCTATGGTATAAACTCTGATTTCTATATATTCCTTCTCTTTTTTCCCTGAATCGCCTGATTTTCGTGGAGGGTTGGTTAGGGATTCTAAGTTTTATTCTGTTTTGGTTGATAGGTTTTGCAATAGTAACATCTTATTGGAGGGGTTGAGGGTTTTGAGGGTGATGGTCAGTGAGAATTTGGTGGTTGGGGTTGGGGATGATGTAAGGATATTTATTTACAAGGGTCTATTGAGGGAGGCCAGGATTAGGGACACCATGGAATTGAATGAGACTTTTGTGCTGTGTTTATGCTAGTGGTGCTGGTGTGATGGTGAATTTGTGAAGAAGGTAGTGGATTTATTGGATTGCTTGATAGACAATTGGTTTCAATAGAAATACAAGTAATCGATTTCCTGTACATTTGCTTGATTTTATTTTTTTACTTGATTGTGGTAAAAATTAATTTGTTATGTTGTTCTAGTTTGAAATAGTTTGCTTTCCACTAATAATCATAATGTTATCCTTAACAAAAACTCGAGGACAAGGATATGATAGCTAATTTTGTATTGATTATTTGTGAATTAAATAGAGATTGCATTAAGGCCCTATTTGGGAGGGATTTAGATTTTTCTACAGTAAATCAATTCTCATTTTCAACCACACATTCTTCAATAAAATAATATTTTCCATCACATCAATAATTTTTTCTTATTTTTCAACCACACATTTCCCATCATATCAC